AAAAAAAAAAAAAAAAAAAGGCACCAAAACAAAGCAAAGGAACATAGTCTCTCTCTTTATAATTCACCGGAATCTTCATAGACGATTTTTTTAAACAACGAATTTATGGGGAGCACTTCAAAAAATACGCGACGGTTTCTGGGGGTGAACTTGAAGCTGAAGACATTGTGTATCTCTCAGCAGAATGCTAATTTATGTATTTAGGATAATACCTCCACAAAGGAGTTCCAGTTTCAAAGAGCTGCACAAAGAACAGGAATGTTCAGGTTCAAACTGAAAAGAAGTCAGGAAGCGTCGGTGAGTTAACATACAGAACTAAACAGACACACTTTCTTTTTTTTTTTTTTTTTTTTTTTAACAGACACACTTTCTATAAGGCTGATCTTTTCCTGAATGGACTTCCAGTGCCAATCATACCGCCAGGTCCCGAGGATACACACTGATGATGCTGGTGTGTTTCCTGCACAGACTGGCTCAGCGATTTCAGCAGCATTTGGTCGCCCCCCCCCCCCCAATGATGAACAGCTCGAATCCCAATCGTTCGAATAAACAGCAGTGCGGACGACTGGACTCATCCGGGCAGAGACTGCTGGTTATTTCAATCGCTTATTTGCCATATGGTGGGGGGCGGGGAGGACTAGCAAAGACAGTGGCTGCACCAGGTTACAGCCAACAGAACTAGGTATGTCCCCCCATGTGTCAAAATTACAACAACGAGCTGATATCCTCTGTACCCTCAGATGTGTGACGACAACACTGCCATTACCTGCCTCTGACAGATGGAAACTGGGGTGTAGGGAGGCTGGCACCTGCCCACGCCCCATTCCCCCGGGGCCCCTGCTTGGGGCATCTGTCAAGTCCCCAGCCCCGGTGTCCGCCAGGGTCACGTGCCCTGGGTCCCCTGCTCCAGGGCGCCTGCCTCTGTGTCCGCCCGGGGCCCCCGTCCGAGTCCCCAGCCCAGGGTCCCCTGCCTCGGGTGTCAGCCGGGGTCACGTGCCCTGGGTCCCCAGCCTCGGGTGTCAGCCCGGGGCCCCTGCTTGAGGCCCGCACCGGCGGACCCCCAAGCTGCCCCCTCCTCCCGGGCCCCGCGGCCGCTCACCAGGTACTTGCCGTCCGGGGAGAACTTGCAGAGCAGGCCGGAGAGCTTGAACACCTCGGAGAAGTTCATGGCGGCCTCCGACCCACGGCCCCGGGCGCTCCACTCCAGCCGGGTCTGCCGCAACCGCCAACACCGCGGCCGGAAGTGACGGAGGGCGGAAGCACCTCGCAGCCTATCAGGGCCCCGGGTGCCCGCGCAGCATTGTGGGGCTTGTAGTTCGCGCGTTCCCGCGCCGCCGCGCTTCTCGCCACCAGGACGATCCGCCCCCCAGCGAGGGTTGACACCGAAAACGCCGGACGCGCGCTCAAGTTGAATTTCAGGCAAACAACGAATCATTTTTGTGGGAAAATGCTCTCAGATACTGTATGGGACAAACACCAAAAAAGTACCCGCTTATCTGAACTTCAAATGTAAACGGGCGACCTGTGTGTCCGCTTACGTTTGAGTGTTTATACTTACACGTGAATACGCTTAGATGTTAACTACGTTTACGGACACCTACGCGCTTCTATCTAAATACGTAATAGTGTGTATACACACATTGTATGTTATACACGGTGAATAAGTACGTATTCGTTTTCTGGGTTTTTTTCTTTTCTTTTTTCTTTCTTTTTGGCTGAATTGGGCAACCCTGCCTGCAGGGAGGCCCTCGCCTCCCCTCGGGCACTACGCAGATCTGGGGAGAATGCCTTTGGCGTTTGCACCCGCGCGGAGGAGAGGGAGAGCGCAGGGCGCGACCTGGGACCTGCCCACGCAGGACGGCGCGCGCCTGTGTCAGCGCGGGTTTTGCGCACCTTGCTGGCGCCCCCGCCAGTGCCTTGTCCTCTCGCCCTCTGGGAACCCCTGGTCCTCTTCCCCCGAAGGAGGCTTGCCCCATGACCCGACCAGGCCCTGCCAGAGCCTCCGCAGTCTACCGGGGCCGGCGGACCCAGACACTCACGCTCGCCCCTCCCTTCTGAGAACCCAGACCCAGCCTGGGCCCTCCCCACACCTCTGTGCTCACAGCCCCCGGCCTGCAGCCTGCCGACGTCCCCCGCCACCCCCTTTTGGAACACACGGGCAGGGGGTGCGTGCACGCGTCCAGCTAGGCGGTACCACAGCTCCATCCGTCTTTGTGTCTCCAGCCCCCGCGAATCTAAACCAGTGGGTGAGCAGTAAAGGTGTGTGGAAGTGAGCCAGGTCCGCCAGGGGAACGCGGACCCAGGCGGCCAGAGAACCCAGTTTGCACCAGCCCGGCTCGTACGCAGTTCCACAGGCGACACTGACACGAGGGTCACGCGAGCCTGGGGACGCCGGTTCGGAGGCCGATAACGGGTCCCGAGAGCACCGGAACGCAGTTCACGGCAGGTGCACGCCGCGAGAGCCTTTCCAAACGTGTCCTGCGGGTCGGGTTCTCTGGCCAAGGACCCGCCCAGAGTGGGTCCAGACCCGTGGAGCCGTGGGTGACACCGGTCCGAGGGAAGACTCGGCCCGAGGCCGGTGTCTGAGCGTAGAGAGCAATTCCGAGTGCACGATCCACGTGTCGCCGCGGACGCCCACGCGCACCTGCGCGAAGAAGAGAAACCAGCGCTGGGGGGCGGCAGGCGGCGGCCAGGGGAGGGAGGGAGCAGGGTGCGCGCCGCGACCTGGGAGTGTTTGCGTCACCAGATCCTCCCCAGGGGCCAAGGGACACAACCTCCGCCCAGGATGAGTGTGGGCTGGGGCCAGACAGTCGTTCCCAGAGGGTCCCCCCGGATCCGCAATGCCGAGCGGGGCCGGGGAGCGGCCGTGACCTCGGCTCGGTGTCAGTATAGATGGCGCGCCCTCCTCAGAGTCTCACTGGAGCCCCACGGGCGCAAACGGCCCCACCCAGTCCCCTCGCCCTGGGACCGCGCCCCTCACCCCTGCTCCCGGCAGCGAGGGCGGACACTCCGAGGACCAGGACGGCTCTTCCCCTGCTCCCGGGGGTCTGAGCGCCCCGCGCACGGAGGAGCCCAGCGCCGGTGGGGGCGGGAGGGCCGCCCGGGGTGTCGGGAAAATGCGGCGTCTGGGGGGTGGGGTGGGGCGGGGGGAGCAAGGCGTCGGGACGCGGAGCCTGCTTGGCTGCCCGCCCTCGCTCCCGCGCGCCCTCGCCCGCGGCCCCCGAGCTGGCCGAGGGTCGCGGTCCCCATCTCGCCTGCGTCCGGCCCGGGGTAGGCGGCCCAACGGGCTCCGCAGGGGCGACGCGCGCCAAAAGGCGGCGGGAAGGAGGCGGGG